ATGGGGTACGTGGAAGACGAGACCCGCGAGAAGCAACGGGCGGACCTCCGCGAGCTCGGGGGCACGCTGCGCGAGTTCGCCGAGCTCGAGGCGCGGCGGCGGAACTGGGGCCCGGCCCAGCGGCGCCTGGGCCTCGCCATGAGCGCCTGGCAGTTCTTCGTCATCCGGCGGCGCCACGGCCGCTTCCTCGCCAAGGAGCGCGCGCGCCTCCGGGCCCTGGGCCTCGGGCCGCCCGAGGCGCCGCCGCCGGCCGCGTCCGACGACGACGGCGGGGACGACGAGCCCGCGCGCGCGGCGCTGCCGCTGCCGAGCTGGGAGTGGTACACGAGCCTCCGGTCGACGCACGGCTCGTCCTGGGGCCGCGCGCCGCGCCTCTCGCAGTACCCGAGCTGGTCCGGCCCCGCGACGCCCGCGCGGAGGAAGGGCAAGCGGTCGCGCGGCGTCCGGTGGGCGCCGCGGTCGCTGCCGCCCTGGATGCGGCCCCAGCTCCTCGCCGCCGCGCCGCCGCCCGCCCAGAGCCCCGCGGCGCCGTCCCCGCGGGCGAAGAAGGTGCGGGGCGCGCCGCGGCCGCCCAAGATCCCCCGGAGCCCGACGACGCCGAAGCGTCCCCGGACCGTGAGCTTCGACGGCGCGCGCGGCCCCGACCCGCTGCCGTCGCCGTCGCGCTTCCCCGCCCTCGAGGCCCGGGCGCCGGCGTCGCCGGACCGCGCGTCGGCGTCGACGGCCTCCGTGCGGGCGCCGCGCACGGCGTCGACGTCGCTCGGCAGCCCGCTCTCGTCCTACCGGAAACTCGCGCCGCGCGTGGGCCGCGACGACCCGGACGGCGACTTCAAGGACCTCGCGCACGACAAGTTCGCCGTCTACGCCCTGACCTGGCCGCCGAAGCGCGCCGCGGGCTTCCGCCGGGCCGGGCGCAAGGCCTTCGGCGCCGCGGCGAACCGCGTCAACAACCGGAAGACGATCCTCGCGGCCGGCTCCTTCTCGACGGTGGAGTACGTCACGAAGACGTCCACGTCGCCGCGGGGCCGCGAGGCGCGCGTCACGCTCAAGCCCGCCGACGACTTCGACCGCGTCGTCGCCGCGTGACGCGCGCGTCCGTTATAAATCGCCCCGCGCGCCGCCGGCGCGGCCCGGGGCCGCCTACTCGGGCGCGCTCGGCTCGAGGTCCGGCGCCCAGGCCTCGGCGTCGAGCTTGAAGGGCGTCGCGCAGACCGGCGCGCCGAGGTCCAGCGCGTCGGCGACCGCCGCGACGGTGAAGTCGGCCGCCGACGCCGCGGCCTTTGCGGCGGCCGCGTCCACCGCCGCGGAGCAGAAGAGCAGGTACATGTACCAGGACCCCTCGGCGAGGCCGGAGTCCTGGGCGCCAC